TCCCTGTCTATCCATGTAGCGATTCGTGCGGACCAGACGTACACAAGCCGTCGCAACGAGACTGGACCTTAACATGATGCCACGGTTTGCACGCCTCCTTGACCCATTGAGCTATACTGGGTAGTGCCTCTGGCCTCATGAGAGACACTCATACCAGGTTGGTCAATTGTTGGAGGTCAGACAAACACAGTCTCCCGGTCCTTCAGGTTGGGGGTTTGAAATGGGATTTCCTCCATTTCTGTAAAACTAAATCATTGCCACCTCCTCGCTGCCTTACGGACTGGCTTTTAAGCCAACGGCTTTGGATGCTGACCCTAATCGTCCTTCTGTCTACGTCTGGGCGCCCTGACGGTATCTCAGCCCACGTACAACCATAACTTCTTCTTCGTCAAACATAAACTTCATCCTGCATCGGCCGTCGCGCAGATTATCAAGGGTCGCCCTATCTGCTGCGTACAGCAGAGCGGATAAACGAAAACATGCTACTGGTAATTCCTTCTTTCTTTTCCGACTGTTTATCTTACTCCCATCCCGACCACCATTACTAACCTTTGTCCTATAACACCCAGCTTAATTGTCAGTAGATGTAATGACATTAGAGTTTTGCCATCTGCACCCACCTTCCTACAACACCCACCGGCCGCCTACCAGCAACAGCCCCTTATAAAGCCACGCAGTCCCGTTTTCCTGGCGGCGCTCAACATCCGCACTTTAAGACAAATATGTCAACAGGCTGCACTCACACACACGTTGGGCACACTGGGTTTTGAAGTGTGCTGCTTATTTGAAACTAGGAACAGTGGTTCTAATCGTGTTGTTGAATTAACTTCACCCGGCTTGTCCTCTCGCTGTTGGTTACACGCATCCGGAGACGCTGCTACAACACTCACGGGTCAAGCTGGTGTAGGTATAATTTTCAGCTCCAAAACTGAGTCATTGTTGCTTGATTGGATTCCGGTGAACAGCCGTTTCTGTGCTGCACGTTTGTTGAATTCAACCAAGATTGAATCACGAATTAGTACAACACGTTGTTTGTTTGTGATTTACGCTTATGCTCCCACCGACTGCAGTTCTAATGCTGCCGGGGACACATCCGGTGACGAACTACGCAGTGCTACCACTTCAGGTATCATAGTACTTGCAGGGAATATGAATGCACAAGTAGGGCCTCTGAGCTCTTCAGAATCTCATCTACGTGATAGCTATGGACTTAACTTCGACCGTACGGACAACAGCGAGAGTCTTTTGCAACTGTGTGCAGAGCACTAGACACAGTAGCACTGCTTCTTAGTACTGCTTTTAGACACATTGGGCGCCGAAATGCCACTTGGCATCCTCCTGTAGCTGGCCAGCGATGGACCCAAACTGACCACATTGCCATAAGTTACAGGTGGCGTGATTTCATCCTGGATTGCCGCTCGTTTTGAAATACCTACATCATTTCTGATCCTGTCTTGATACGCTATCACTTTTCCATGAACTTAGCGTCTTTTCCGGTTGTTAATTGAGCAATTGTCTCATCTCTAGATCAGACAAGCTTATCGAGACGCACTGCTTACCGAACTTTCGCCTTTTTGTCCTAATGACACTGAGCTTCAGATGAATAAGATCTTGGTCCCCATGCACTACGCAAGAGCCTTTATTTGTAGCACTATAAATCATCATGGAACCGATTACTGAATATCCGAGAGGTCGGTGAGCCTGTTGGAATCTAGAAGAAACCTCCCGGCTGTCTCTGAGCGCAATGTGACCAAACGGACTATTCGACGCGAAGTAAAGCGGAGGTGCTGCTGACACGGAAGTCTGGTAGACCAGTTGAGCTCAATTAATCGAGGAAGCAGGAGGAGTAGACACTTACCGTAAGCTCTTCCATATGGTCCTCACCACTGGTCTCGGGAAACCAGGCGTCAGTGATACAATCAGAGACAGCTTGGATGCTCTGATACACAATAAGGAGCGCCGTATGGCTCGTTGGACGGAACACTTTCAAGATCAGTTCAGCTGGACTCTTACTTCCATACCTTTCCTACTCATAGGATGCAAGATGAGCCATGGACGCTTATTGTACAGGCTACTTACGAGGCTGAGGTCCGAAGCGCTATCACAGTCCTCAATCGCTTTCGTGCTGCTGGCCCGGATTCCCTCCCACTTACACCATTTAAGGATGGAGGTGAGGTCCTCTGCAGAGCACTTACCTCTCTATTCGAACATAACTGGAAGGAAGAGTGTCCAGGCTAACTGGTGTGAATCGATCATAGTGGCTGTATACAAGAACGGCAGTTGCACCGACTGTGCAAACCACAGAGGTATTAGCTTCATGTCACTTGTAACAAAATAATTTGGTTCTGTTTTGTCGTCTCACTGTAGAACAGGAATCTCGGATTACGGAATAGCAAGCAGGTTTACGCCCTGGTCATGGCTGTATAGACCATCTCTTCACTCCGCGGCAGGCGCTAGAGCGGCACCACGCATACCGCAGACCGACAATAACTGTGTTCTTCGATTTCAAGAGTGCGTTCGATTCGGTCGATCGATGCATTCTGTTATTTCGCGGAAAGCTGTTCCCATGTACTCTATACTCGAACACTACAGGCCGCGTCAGAGTCTACGGTGACCTGTCGGATAGCTTTCCGACCACAAGTGGCGTTCGTCAGGGTTGTCCGATTTCCTCACTTGCGGAATCTCGATGTATGCGTTGAGTTGCTGCCTTGTGAAAGGTTAGTTGATCTTGATTATGTGGACGATATCCTCTTGCTCTTTGAGGATGTTGAGGCGGTCCAGTCAACCCCAAGTAGCCTGTCTAGAGTGGTCACGTTATTTGGTATGCGCATCGTAACTGCAAAGCGTTGCCTCAGGACCACCAGCCATTTTATGACCCCTTGACCCTTGCTAATCAGGAGCTCGTGACGATTGATTGATTCACTTACCTTTGCAGCTGCATCAGCAACGATGAGCGCATAGAAACTAAAGTCACTCCACGCATTGAAAAAGCTAGAACTTCCTTCTTGAACTTGTGTCTTTTTTGGCAACAGTGGCCGTGTTTACTAGGCCACGTACTAGGACTGGTACGAATGTAAAATCACACGTACGTGCATACATATTTCGCCGATACTTTGAATTTCCTCGTGTCCCTACCCACTCTTAGTGGTATGCGCTATACAACCACATGTCTAAAGTGATGAGCCGGAAATGTAATCAAAGCACCTCATTTTTCCAAACAATCAGGAAAATATACATTGATGTGTAGAATCGCATTACCACCTCCCGCAACACTGATGTCACTGATTGCTGTTCTGGTAATGTGTTCCAGAAACTGCAACCTCCATTCTATTTGCGTCATGCTGTTCTGGGATCCCCGGCCAGTAGTTCATCGTACTGCATTCGCATTTCATTATTCACTCGGGTCTTCACCACCTGCCAAACATTTTCGATGGGATTGAGGAATGGGGAGTATGGGCTAAATCCTTCGACTGACACAGGTGCTTCCAAACGTATGTGACATGGGTCATTGCCCCACACTACGACCACCTGCAGAGCTCTAATGCCCGCTTTAGCTTGTCCAAAATGTCTCGCAGCCATTCTAGAGATAGGGGGCCAGTGAATGAGCCTCTCCGGGTAGTCATCGAAACCTTTCCGTCCGTTGTGATTGCACCGATGATGTGCAGTTTCAGGCTCCGACTGTTGTCTACTTTGACACAGACCCTCACTCCTCTGGGCGCCCGACCACGTTTGCAGTAAACGTTGAGATTTGTTTCGTCGATTCATGTGAAGAAACTCCCCTCCTCTTCACGTTCGAGAAACTTTTGAGCAAATCTTTTGTATCGCGTTGGTTCGATCATTCTTCATTCCTTCTGAAGTCTGATAGGTGTTCTTCATGGTCATCAAACTGCCATCTAGGCATCGTGCGATTGTAGACTTTGCAATGTTCTTATTCATATCGGCACGTATTCGGACTCACATTTTGTGTAGTGTTGGAGTTGCGTCCTTCGCAGTCCACTCTAGGATGTCATCAATCTCTTCCCCTGACAGAATGCGCTTACCACAGTGCACCTGCTTAGTATCCGGCTTTTGATCAAGACAGCGACGAATCCAGGAGTAGGATGTTCGATATTTCACATTGTTCACTTTTGCCACAATCTGACAGTCGTCACCGTTGATGTAGGCATCCAGGACTCGGTCACGAATGTCTGACGAGATACTCTGTCGAACACGAGAAGGCATGTTGACCACGCTGGGGTGAAAGACATCCATTCAGTCGTGCGCTTATGTATCGGTCATTCATTGCTCTCAAACCATTTTTGATCCAGCGTTTCGGACGTGAGGGGGGGGGGGTTGCTTAGTAGCTCGTGGCACCGCCCGTGTCCATGAACTCGAGATTCATTCACAGCTCTCACATAGTCATCGGGCAGCGCACTCATTTCACGACTTACGCACCAAACCCTAGCACCCGGCCAATGAGAACACACTTGAGGTCAGAGGATTGGTTCAGAGTGGCTAGCGAATCGCATAGGGTTTTGCCAAAGTTTTTCACTTTGCAAAAGATTGCACTTTCTTTGCAAAAGTTGGCGCGTTTTTTGCAAAATTTTGAACTTTTTATGCAACTTGGCGGAAAATGCTATAGCGAAATCTTCCACACTGTCCATCTCCGATTGTTCATCACTTTTTCTTGCCTTTTACATTTGGTCACTATGTTGCGCCCAATATTCTCTCCCTCTTGGTACGACGCTGGTGGGCTCGCTATCCATCCATCCAACCATGTATGGCTGCTTGTTTGAAGCTTGCCTCACTCGTCGAAATTACCGACGCAGCGATGACGCTTGCACTGCGATTGCGTTACATTAGTGTTGATGTCACCGTTCACTGCAGGTTCTTCTTCCTCACTTCTAAACCGACATTTTCTCTACCCTTTCTTCATGTTATTTGTCAATCTTTGTCTTGGTTACACGTTTCTTTCTTGTTACATCCGTGAAACTCTTTCCTCACTCTCTTCTGCTACTCAGGATGGATCATGACGATTGAAGAGTACTTCATTGCCAAAACCAAACCTTGCTTGGATTCCACTCTAATGACTCTTCTGCGCCGTCCTGAGGCGCGGTTCACTTACGCTGAGGTGGTTTTTTTCAGCATGTGGTTCAAAGATTTGTCCAGTCTGAAAAAACAGCAAGTAAAGAGGTTTGTATTTCATCCACATGTCGGTCTTTATGTGTGTTCGATTTCACCTATGCTTCTAGCCGCCCCGTTTACACTCGTTCGCGTCACGTCGTATTTTCTGGACCGCTTCAGTGGAGCATCTATCATAGCGGCTTTCCCAACTGTAGTTGTCTTGCAACTTAAATGTGTTCATTTCTCTGATCGCAGGACCCCATTTGTAAACCAGCCAGCAGTAGCAGTACTATGCTTGCTTGTTGACCTGTTCCACTTGAGTTGTGAATGTTCACCATCAGCCCTTCTGTTATACGCTTTTTTTCTTTTGTCTCACCCACATTCTGCCGCATTGGGGTTATCCACTGACATGGATCTTATTCACTTTACTTGACCTTCGTGAAGTTCACCACCATTTTGTCAGTTTTTTTCTTAGTGAGACTTCGTAACGCAATCTAAACACACTGCGCCTGCTTAAAACCATTCCATTTTGCCTTAGTTTCTCTTTGATCTTTTAAATTTTCGTGGGCCTTTTAGTGTTTGCCTATCGCAGCCGGTCACCTCTGGCATGCCTACCGGGGCATTTATTGATATCATAGATTTGTGGACCGATTAACAGCTGTATGTTCGTTTGGCGACTGAATTAGCTACATATGGCATGAGCTTTGCTCACTTAGAGTGTGGAGCGTTGCTTCTGGTTTTAGGCCGCACCTGCTCCTGTGCTCACTCTTGAAGGTACCCAACTTGAACAGCTGGATAGTTTCGTCTATCTTGGGAATTGTGTCTCCGCTAGTGGAACTATCAGCAAGGACCTTTCTCTCCGTAACACTGAAATTCGATCAGCATTTCCCGATCTGAAGCACTTGTGACGCCATCGAGACGTCTTCAATCCGATACAGAGCTGTGTTTACAGCACATCTGTCTGCTCAGTGTACTTGTGTGGGAGCGAGTGGTGAAAAGTTCCTTTAAATACTAGATAATGGTTCTTTTTGCGGAGGATCGCTCCTTTGTGGTAGCAACACAGTGTTCACAGTGATGACATACGCCGCGCCATGGTGAGTGCGACTCTTCCCTTCTACGCCCTGATTTTACTGTTTCATTTGTAATGGCGCCTGAGTGATTGCCACGCAGCACCGCGCCCTTTTCGCTCATACAGGACCGGTTGGGAGGCGACCGCCTGGTGATCAGGCTTCCACACTTCGACAACACATGAAATTGCTGGCGTCACTTTTAACCTCCGTCGGACCCGTACTTCTTCCTGGATGGGGATCCGAGAACCAGGAGTGCTTGAAGCAATGGCCAGCAACCAACATCATTGTAACCACTGGGTCCTTTGTTTCACATGTTGAATGCGTGAATCATTGAATAAATGAAAAATCAACGTGTGGAAAACACAAGACATCTTTCCTTCGATTTTTGATCAAATTGTTTTCGGTCGCTCCGTGTCCACTTCCTTGGCTGTTGATTATGTGTTCCCTTGGAGGACACAGTGACAAAAGTTCGGATACGGATGCCGTATATATATATATATATATATATATATATATATATATATATATATATATATATATATATATAATGGTTGGCGGCCAGACACAGGATGCCTGCGCCTACGGAGTGGCCATGGGGGGTTTGCGCTGCACTACCTACAGTTCCAACCTCACACTCCATATCCAATGTAAACCCGAAGAAATAAAGCCGGGAGGCATGTGGATGGGAGCCACGTTTCATCATCCTAGCTGTCCCACACCGCTTCACAGGCAAGCACAAGTACGCTGTATTCGGGAATCAAGCGCACACAAGACGTTGGCTGGACCACGTAGTCGGCTCCAAACTGAGTGCATGAAACCACTTCGAGCCTAGCACGGTCACAAGGACCGTGCACCCCTTCACCTCCAGCAACGACCAACTGACTCCTGGAGCCAGTATGGACGAAGTAGGGGGTAATAGACAGGTAGGCATGTTGTCAACATTCACATCAAGTGCAACCACACTATGGATATCAATTAACAAACAAACACTTGAAACAACCACATAAAAAATCAAGCAAATGATGCATACAGCTACAGTGACATAACTCTAATAAATGAGCATATGAAACAACTTGGTTACGAACAAATCCGCGATAACTTCAAGAGGTCAGAAAATATATTTTAAGAAAATGCCACAAAATGCAAAAATGTTATCGAAGTTAAGTGAATTGGTTTAAGGGACGTGTGCAAGTTTATAGAACATAGTTCAGCTGAACATTAAGATGTGATAAAAATCATTAGGACAATATAATAAACCACCACCTGGAATGAAGAGAATCAGAATGCGAGCGTGCGGTTATTAACTCGAATGCAGCGCTGCGCCTTTTCTGCCTAAATTTCCTGCAGGACTCGTCGTCGTTTCGGTCTTGCCCCCGAGTGGCTTCGCTCATGGTTCACAGTAGGCCTGCCTGTCTTCCCCTAGCCTAGACGTAACGAGCTTGTCTTGTAATCTTGCGGCGCTGGTTCGGATCCGCGTAGGGGTGGTCGTCGTCCCGGTATACTCAGCTCGCGTGCAACTGGTGGTGTCACGGCAGCAAAGTGCCGTTACGGCGTACAGCTGACACATTATTTTATTATTCATTCGAGGCCTGGCTGACTTAGGCACTCGCGACCGCACGTGCTACAGCACCCATCGGCGCCTGTCGCTTCCGCAATGGCCGCTTCTTCACTACATGCACGAGGGTTTTCTTTTGCACCTCGGCAACGTCCTTCGTGATCAGATCGCGCCATGTACGGCGATCAACCGCATTCGATTCCCATAACCTGCAATCAGAATTAGAACGTGAGATGCCCACTTTGGTCATATACTGGTGACGAAGCTTAGGTTTCCACGCTTACCGCTTCCCCAAATTCAGCTGACCATTTACTAGCTGCTGCGGTATCAGGGTCGAATCCATACGGCTCACAAGACCGAGCCACCTCATTTTTCTCAGCAAGTGTGCAGTCTACTGCATACATTCCACTACGGCGCAACACTTTCGTGTCCGCAACTCTGTCGCACCAACCAATGCGCAGAATCCATCGCAGACACTGTTGATGGAACCGCTGGGGATATCGCACATCACGCCGGTACCTCGTCCACGTTTCGCTGCCGTATACAGGAATGGACAGCACCATGGATTTGTACACCATCAGCTTCGAGCCAATGCTAAGCTGATGGTTATTCCACACTCGGTACTCTAGCTTCCCGAATGCCGCCGCTGCCTTCGATACTCGGATTCGCAGCTCACAGTGTAGCTGCTGGTCAGTCGACATCGCACTCCAAGGTAGCAAAAGCGGGAGGTGATTTCTAATACTTCAGCACCAATGTTGATTCGCGGCAATATTGAATATTGCACCTCCGGTAAAGGCTGAAAGAGACAAATTGTTTTGCTTGTGTTGATGGTGAGCCCGAATTTGGTCACCGTCGAAGCCAGAGCACTAGTCATGCGCTGCAACCAGTCCGCGCTGTGTGCAGACAACGCACAGTCGTCAGCAAACAGCAACCTACGGATAGTTGTTTCCCAGAGTAGGGTTCTCGCACCGAAACGATGGATGTTCAGCAACCCACTATCGATACGGTACACCACACGAACACCGTAAACACAAGCGGCATCAAAAGCACAAGATAAAGATTAAACAAGTCAGGAGGTAAGACACAGCCTTGCTTCACACCAGAGACAACTGCAAATTCATCCGAGGTCTGTCCACTGAGCTGCACCCTCGCTCGCTTTCCACTGTACACACATTCAATTAAACGTACAAAGTTACATGGGCAACCAAACTTACTTAACACCAGCCACAATGCCTCGCAGTTCACCGTATCAAATGCCTTGGTGAAACCAACAAAAAGCGAGCACAACGGTTGGTCTCGTTCTCTGCACTTTTCCTGCAACTGACGAGCAGCAAACATCATATCTATAATGCTGCGGCCCGAACGGAATCCACACTGCTCTTCCGTCACATTGGGTTCCACAACCTGACTGACGAGGCGGTTGAGCTGGATTCGGGCAATCATCTTGCCCACAAAGCTTAGCAACTTGACGCCAAGATAATTCGTGCGACATTGCTTGCTCCCTTTGCCCTTGTACAGTGGTAGCACAAAGGCATCCTTCAGCTCAGGAGGCACCCCTTCCTCTTTCCATACGCGTTGCACCAAGTGGTGCAGCGCAGTCACTAACGCGGGTCCGGCGTGTTTCTATACTTCAGACGGGATCCCGTCGGTCTCGGCACACTTGCCGTATCACAGATGAGCAAGTGCTCTCTGCGTCTCATCCAGTGTCGGCGTGTCTACCAGACTCACCTTCTCATCGAGCTGCTTGAGCTCGTTCAGTGTCGTCCAGTCATTCTTTGAACGATTGTTCAAGAGACAGTCAAAGTGTTTTTGCCAGACCTGCATTATATCTGCAGTCTGTGTGCAAGTAGCGCCTGAACTACCATCGATGAGCGTCCTCAGCGGCTCCAACCTCGTTCCATACACTGCCTTCAAGGAGTCAAAGTATTTCTGGTGTTCGCGGAGTTCGGCGTAGTTTCCCATCTGCTTCGCTTCCTACATCCTCCATTCATATTTAATTCGACGGAGTTCACGGGTAAGTCGCCGTCGAAGTTCGCGAAACTAACTATTCTTCCCCAAGTCACTTGGGTCTGTTACATGTGCAGCAAATGCTGCATTCTTCTCCGACACCAGTGCGCTGATCGTCGCGTTTTTCTCATCAAACCAATTAGGCCGCTTACAGTTTGCGCGCCCAATGGTCTCCTCGGCAGCAGGTGTCACCTGGTCGCGAATGTGGTGCGACAGGTCGCCCACTGTGGCTATGAATTCCACATCACACATGTGTGCAGCCATTGCCTTCTCCAGCTCAGTACGTTTCGCCCCCATTACCGAGGGAGAGAATGTTAAATTTACGCCGGTTCACGGCGGGAGTGCAATACATAGATTTACGAGAAAATGTGTACAATTTACTCCGCACCAGTTTGTTATCAGTGCCACACAGCTGCACGCACTTCATGCCTGTCACGCTGATGATGACATGGTTGAGCAGGTGAAGGTGACCACTCCGTGGGTGCGTGCAAGTTGGTATGTCACTCGCACTCAGTACATATCGAGTATTAGTTCTTGTCATACTGTGCGTGGCACACAGTGAGAACATCTTGTCACCGTTCGCATTCGCTGAACCAGTGCCATGCGGACCAATGACATCTATCCACACCGATGCATCACGCCCAACGCGCGCGTTGAAATCACCCAGCAGCAATAGTCGGTCGCTCCTCGGCACAGACCGTACCACGGAGGATAGCCGAGTGTAGCGTTGATCACTTGTGTCACCAAGATAATACATGGTCGGACCGTACGTGCTTAGAAAGCTGAAAAACTTACCCCTTCCGAGTCGTAGGCGAACAGTCATCAGTCGCGCGCTGATACTTATTGGTTCACCCACAAGCTGGCTATGGAGACGATCGGATATTGCAAATCCGACCCCATGATCACGTGGTGCTGAGGTGGCGTTGCCCACCGTGTAGAACGTGTAGCCAGCACCTGCTTCATGCAACTTACCTTGCTCAACGAGCCGAGTCTCACTGAGTGCCGCAATATCGATGTCATGGTGCGCCAGTTCCATTACGACGACCGCAGTTCGTCGCTCGGGGTGCTGACTCAAGTTCCGGTGTAGTAGGGTGCGCACGTTCCCGCACCCGATGTTGGGTGCTTTGTGCGCAGGTATACATCCTGGTCTCTCGAACCTGCGACTTGTAAATAAATAAATAAATAGTTTATTCTCGTTATTGCGAGGCACACCATGAAGGGCTTGATCATGTTATTACAGACATGTATGATCGGCAATTTCACGAATTAGTACATTTTGACCAATAGCATAGGAATTTTTGTGTGTGTTGAGATGTAAAACTATGTTTAACTGTATTTGGAAGGGGACATGTGTGAGTAGGTAAATATGACTGTGTGTGCTTTTGTTCGTTGTGTTCGCCATCAAAGGGGGGAATCAATGGAACGCTTTGAATCGGATGACGTCCATGATGTGTGAATGACCCTCCGGAAAAGGGAATAGGCAGTGACTTTATTTAGTGATGAGTCACATCCGCCACATCACTGTGTTGTTAACGGATACTTGTTGTTTTTTATAGGGAGAACGCTTGTAGGCGAAATCCCAGCACATCCTGGAACACTGCCGCCGAATCATTTGCTGGTACGGGATTTCCCCGAACCACCCAGCTGGCACCACGAGGAGGTTGTTCGGCTAGCCAGTCACAAGTTCACAAGCCCGAGGGCTGAATCATTCGATTACTGATCGAGCGCTCTTTTATTGTAATTGTGTGACTCATTCCTTGTCGATTGATTCACCCAAACATGATTTTGATAGGCTGTTTATATATATATATATATATATATATATATATATATATATATATGTTTGTGTTTGTGTGTGTGTGTGTGTGTGTGTGTGTGTGTGTAAATCTTAGCGCCCGCTTACCTCATTCATTTATTTATTAGTATAACTTGGGCCGTATATTCCACTATGGCATCCTTTTCCACTTTTCCTTACAGTTTGTTAGAGAACGGCCGATTGGAAATCTCCACTGGTGGATGGGTCATGACGGATGAGGCTGCTGCCCACTACCACGGTATGATTGACCAGCTGATCGAAGGCCACCACTGGCTGATACAAACGTTTGGTGAGTCGATGCTTCCCTCATGATACACCTTTAGTACGTTAGCACACGCCGCTAACACTTTGGCCTTAACTACCAACTTCTGATGTGACACTGAGGCATCAGCTGCGGCTTACAGCTCGTCTGCGAGGAAGCAAAATTTCCACTGAGTATACTTTAGCACAATAGCAAACGAGCGCAAATCAAATACTTTTCAGTGCCTTAAGGTGACTTGGCCGCAATCGTGGTTGAGATTCGGGCGTTATTTGTGTATAATAGGAAACTATTCTGTGGTCACTATTTAGAATGTGTTCCCGAACATCAGCGGAGTTTGGCACTAGGCCAATGGTAAATATCGGATTCAATATATTACTCTTACTGGTGGGAGTTGTATGCGCTGTCCATCATTATATATGTAAAGAAGAAATCAGATGTACCCACCTGATGGGCACATGGCTTGGAGTTATCTTGAAATCTCCACCTGCTATTTTGTACTTGGCTGGCTAGTCTACTACATCGCATAACGATTGTTGCAATGCATTAGTTTCAGCTTACTTGGAATTAGGGTACAGGTATACGCACCTGAGTTGCACATTTATAAAGAATGGAGTCCTAGATGCACTTATGTTGAGGAATATGAACTCTTGAAGCGCGCAGTGTTTCGTGCACATAGATGGCGCAACCGCCACTTAGTCCAGACTTACGACCCCCTAAGAGATGCAATTTATTCCAATATATGTTAGTCGAATTCAGGTGTGGCTTCCATTAGCCACGTCTCTGTCACCAGTATGCTTTGTGTATACCAGAGAAGGAAATAAGTGAGCATAGAATCTGGACTTTGTTTTCAGGGGTGCGTGCATTGAGCCACAAACCACGTATAGACTAATGTTGTTCGGATAAGTTTATATTTTGTTAACGCAGTGCGGTCCCGGCTCCTGAAAAAATGTTTTGTGTTCCTCCGTGGACGGGAGCCTTATGATATTTAGTTCAGCATAATTTAAAGCACTGAGGTGTAAAGCGCAGTGGGAAGTGGCGTGAATACACACATATGTCGCAATTGCAGTTCGGGAGTAGGGCCAATTTATCACAAGGGAGCCTTGGCGGACTTGAGGACAAGGAAGTAATTGAGGCTTTGCGTATAAATTTCCACTGATCTTATCTAGTGGTGAGCTTACTTCATCCTCTGAAGAAATTCTAAAAAGTGTGGTACTATATAGTTGGCGTCCAATGGGAAGTCTCATTGTTAGGAATGGTTGCGGAGCCATCCTCGCTTCCGCTATTAGAAGACCGAAGGAAAATACTCGGGTTCTAGTAGCTGCGCAGATATGGGGTGACATAGGAGACGACATTACCAATCTTTTTCCGCTGTTAATCTTACGTCGACTTTTTCTGCTGTTACATGGTATATGAATAGCAGGGTTATCTAGGAGTCTTTGTGGTGTTGGGGCGAAGGGGTTTTACATTCGATGCACTGACTAATTTCGCGGATTTCGGAGACTCTTGGCAAGCACAGGCCATGGTAATGAGCGACTTGTCGGTAAATGTGCATTGGTTGTTGATTTCGGTGTTGGATCTTGTTATCGAGCCCTGCTAGCTATTCGTACTTCCTATCGAGGGCTTTTTATGGATCTTATACACAAAGCGTTCGGTTTGGGGTGATCGCTGGTCGTGGCACTTGTGCGGGTTCTTACACTCATTGGGTGTGATTGCGGCATTCTGATGCTGCTGGCATTAAGAGCACTCGATGCTGCTACGTCGAGGTTCGCATATTGGAGATCCACGCCAATGCAGTTGATTTCCCCATCGAGTGTGGCTTCTTCCTCTGTCGCCATATAAAATTTCGAGTCGCTTGCTATCACTGCTTTCGGTGTTCGTGGCGTATTCTTAAGAACTGGTCTTTGTACTTGGATCTTATCAGGTTTAAACAGTGCGCTCTTAAACTGACTAAGCTTGGTTGTGACTAGCCGACAACACATACATCTGTCGACCGATTCTTCGCTTGTTTTTGACGTTTTCTTTTTCATACACAGATGTCTGCATTCAACCTCAGACATACTGCTGGTACCCAGTAATGATGTTTACACCTTATCCCAATTATTTTGATCAAGAATGTTGAATAGTGTAATCTTTTTAGTCTATGTTTACGTTCTGATACTTATAATAAGCTGTACCACTTTTTCATTTCGGTTGGCTCGAGGTTTTCTGACGGGTTACTAGGGTATTCTAAGAAAACCAGATGATCATTATTGAGGGCTTTGGTGCGAGTCAACATTTGTTTCATTTTTCTTAACCGGACAGTATGACGGATACTTAGGGTACACTGTCTTGCTATCTTTTGTGTGTTGTGTTTCAATACCGCTATCAGTGGGATAGAAGATAGGCAATTTTTAGCCCCTCGAGTGCGACTGTGTCCGTGCCATTGGATACTAATGTTCTTAGTGTTGCTATGCACAGGTTCTCTAAAATTAACGGGATTGTGGCTACGGTGAGGGCTATTGAGTATACATATTAACCGGTAGGCTGAAATCGTACCCAGGACCGAATGGCTCAGAAACAACTGGGAATCTGCTTTACACGAAAGTAAAAAGTAACCGCCCTGGATTTTAGACTGTTCGATGTATTCGAGTTCATCGCTACTGATGACCTTTTAGTGCCGTGCTGATTGGCTGCCCATTTCCGTCTTCTGCATTTCCAAATCAAGCATAAACCGTCCTTGAAAGTACTTGGGTGACGAATTTTTGTCGATCCGATAATCGCGAGGCGCGCATGTGGGTGCAGGCTTTGGCGCGCACAGGCACATTCGCTGAACGTAAACTTACGCTAAATTCATAGTGACTGGATGGGTGTGAGGATGGCTACTGCAATGTGTATCTACAGCTCTGTACGCACTGACAGATCGTTGTTAATTGGGACCCTCTGGAAAGCCCTGAAGCGTACTCTTGAATGACTAGGTGTACACACTGTAACGTAGATGTTGTGTGCCTTATTTTCGGCAAATCTGTTGCTAGGTATGTGGTAGCGGGTTGAACAGTAATATAAAAAGTATAATGCGGGGGTTCTGAATTCATTGGATAGAGCTCCTGAATCGGAATCGAATGAGTGCAATCACTGCAGTGAACGATGAAGTGGCGAAATGTAAACACGCAATCGATTAGCGCGTTCAAGATATGTGGTCGCACACCATAAACCCATTTTTGCTTAGATCGACCGATTTGTTTCTGCAATTCCAAATGGAGACCTAGGCTTATTCACGCTGTCTTCCTAAACAGATTTACATTTATCCATCAGTCTTCTAATATGCTAACCATCACCCGAAAAGATGACATTGTGTATATAAACTAAGCGTACGTGTACATAAGTGGAACGTTTATGTTACCGTTTAGAAGTAGATGTTTTCCAGTTGACTAGTTCGAGTTTATATCCCAGTTTAATTCAGTGCTCCATTCCTAATGAGGATCAAGTAATACAGACTGGAATGGTCATCACGATTTTCAGCACTATCTGAGGTTAAAGTCGAAAAGTCTCTTGACGCCCGCACAGTATGGTTTCGTGAAAGGTCGCTCGTGCATCACCAACCGACTGTTGACGAGACACGAATGTTTACAAGCTCTGAACCAACGCAAAGCAGTCGATATCATTTACATTGACTTCAGTAAGGCTTTTGACAAGGTAAATCTTGCGGTGCTCCTCGCCAGACTGAGGATGTGCGGTGTTGGTGGTTCGCTACACCAATGGATAAGGAATTTCCTTTTTGATCGAAATTGAAGGTCTAAATTGACAACTATTTAACCGACTGGTATCCATCGAGCAGCGGCGTGCCCCAAGACACTGTATTGGGAGCGATTTTGTTTCTGATCCATGTAAACGATGTGCGTCAGCTACTCCAGTCTCCTTGTGTGTTGTTCGCAAATGACTTGAAGGTGTAGAGAGTAATCCGAACATCCAATGATTGTGATTTGCTTCGGCCGGACGTCGACCGCCTTTCGACATGGTCTGCGGGAATCAACCTTCCGATCAACCCGGTCAAGTCGTATTTCATGAGGCTGCATAAGTTTGAGCACACTGGAACCTACAAGGTGGCACGTCAACCGTTGCCTCCCCCGCCTTTTGTGCGAGACCTCGGTGTACTCCTCTCACGCTGCGACCTAAAATCCATGGACTATACGAATAGAATTTACCAAAACAGTTTTTGTATGCCTTGGGCGCTCAGGCGCAGCTTCAGCACTTGGTCCGAAGAGATTGCTACTCGCCTCTTCGTCTCAATAATACGGCCAATGCTAGAGTATGGCTCTCCCGCGTATTGTCCTATCATCCGGGGAGAGATAGAAAAGACTGAGCGAGTGCAGCATGTAGCTACCAGGCTGATTCCCAATTTACGAGGTGTGCCGTACGAAGACCGGTGTACGAAACTAGGTCCGTACACCATAGCTTATCGTCGACTGCCGGATATTACATCTGGGTGATTACCCTATGTTGAGACCGCTGCTTCATCTGCGCAAAGCAAGCAGCACATCACGAAGACACCGGTATAAGCTTGTCGTACCGGGTTTTGGAGAGGGTCGCTCACCAACTCTGTTTCGAACGCAGCGTGGTAAATGTATGGAACGTAGTAGAGGCAAAGTCAGTGTCGGAATTTAGGAATTTCCTGGACATACACTTTGCCGACGTAAAATATATCGAGGGGAACACAGTGTAACGGGTATTTGTCCACGAGTGACGACTGATGCAGCTACATAGTGCAAGCTCTACTCGTTGCTTCTAACCAGTATTCAATATTCAGTTCTACGCGAAATATTCATTTGTCGATTGTGTTTCTTTCTTACATGATAACAAACTATCGAATACTACTCTGTCTCTGTTATTGGCTGGATCTCTGTTCTCCAGGGAACTGAGGAGTACCGATTTGCTCACTCCTTTCGTCTGCGGACAGGTTGCAAACTTATGGTAATCAGTTTTGTTTCACTGTTTTCTCCTCCTTGGAGTTTTTTTGTTCACTACATGCTTACACAACAGACTTGATTCCGCGTTGTGTTTATTTTATCCACAGGTTACTTGCCCAACACTAGTTGGTCCATAGATCCATTTGGTCAGAGCTCTAGTATGGCCTATTTTCTGAACAAAATGCACCTATCCGGTGCGGTGATCAATCGTGTTCATTATGAGATCAAGCGTTATTTGGCCGAAGCAAAAGCGTTGGAATTCAACTGGCGACAAACTTGGGGTAAGCGCTAAATTGTTACCTTATGTTTACCTCAGTGATGTTTTTACTGTTTTTCAACTGCTTACTTTTCATGCAGTATTGTTTTGTGTTATCAGTTGGCACCACAGCTTGTTTGCATGCATCATGGTGTATCACTTCTATTATGGGCTAAGCAGACATGATGAGACAATCTACAGCCTATATTTCCTCTTGATCAATCACCGGTTAATCGATAAGAGAGGTAGTTGGGACCCGTTTTATACGTAGACGCATCGTGGTTGTAACGGTAACTCGACTTGGGACCTAAACTCAAATAATGGGACAGAGAAACGACAGTCAACCTACTGATCGTGACTCTGGGTTTTTTTATCAGGTCTATGGTTCTTCATCCCAACCCCCCTCCCAACCTTATACCATTCTACATGCTGCACGCAAAACAAAGCTCCAGTCGATAAACAGCAGATGCGCTTATTTAGAATTTGACGAGGTCAACGCTGTTTACTCGACCTCATTCGTTGATCTGATGTTGTGGCCTCATCAACACCGGACTCCAGTTTCTGCAGAACGATGCATCACCCAGATACTTGATCCATTGTGAATGCGCAGCATAAAACAGCTTATTTATCTTCTTGGATATCCTTAACAAAAAGAGATACCTTTGGATTCCATCGTACAGTACACAATAGACAACAAATCAAGGAGCCGGAAAATTTTCTCCTTAACTGGTATTAACGAATTTACTTCCAAAAGAGATACGTAAAATTCAGTCAGCGATTAAATTTCTTAAATTCATACACACATTGAAAGACTGTTGATATCTACCGACAAAATTCGACAAACAAATCATCTTATGAAACGAGTATGTGACGGAGTTGATTTAGTTGCCGGGTTAGCTTCTTTTTATCTTCTGGTTCCATAGCTTTTCCGTTAGAAAACACTGCTGAACTGGGATTGTGACGGTTTTCTGTACCCTGTGCCAACCTCAACACCAAGGATATTCTTCTGTTGGGACTACAACTGGACGAGACTGTACCCTAACTTGGTGCAACCCCGTGATCTATGCTGGGTGATGCATTTTGCATCTTCAGAGTCGCTCATTACAGACTGTTCAGTGGTTGGAGGCCTGACAAATTCAGTCTCCTGACCCTCTATTTTGGGGGCTGAAGTGAGCGTGGTCCCTTACTCCGTAAAACGATCTCATTGTGGCTCACTGCCAAATCTGTTGCCTTGCGGGAGGGATTTTGAACAAGGACTATGGCTCAGAAACCTAGTCGTTCTCCTTTCTATTCCTGGGCAGTCTGACAGTATCTTATTCACACAACGGCATGAATTTCTCCCCAAACAATTCGTTGATGCTACGGCCGTCGCAGAGGATAACTAACGACACCCTATCAGCTACATCAAGCAGGGGAAATTAGGGTTTTGGTTGCTGCTGTTCAAGCCTTTTCGTCTCATTATTTATTCCCCCTCTTGAGATTTCCCCCGCTTATTGTCCCGTCCCAACTTCACTTTTATCCCTTCCGTTTTCGACTCCCCGATTCTCGGTCCTCCCTTACCTTGTTTTCATAGTCGTTTATTTTCCAATTTCAACAAGCATGTAAACGTGGAATGTTACTGCTGCCTTGTCAACAAGCCCATGTTCGTCCAAGCGGACAAGCCCTGCTCCTCAGCTTCTATTTGGACCCCATCCTCCCTCATATTGGTGTGTCTCAACATACGCATGTTGTTACAGATCGGTCGACAAGCATCACTTGCCCGAACGCTAGGGACACGATCGATATCTGTTGCTTATCGGAAACTCGCCTGCAAAATTTGAGCTCTGTGCTCCTTTTTCTCTCCCCTAGTAATGCTTTCTCATTGCCTCTGTCCGGAAATGATACAGCTTCGAGCCCCTGTCTAAGCCGGCGTTTGTATTGCCCTGAATCCGATGACTTAAGCTGCTCTTATTGATTGGGTCCCAATCCGTAGTGTGTGCACTCCGATCGGCTAGCTTGTTGAAAGTTACGAAGTCGTGCGCAGCTAATTGGTGTTTGTTTGTCATTACTGCCTATGCTCCCACGAACTGTAGCGATGATTCGGTAATGGACGACTTCTAACGTCAACTGAGCGAGAGCATTCGTCCCAAAAGAATCACGGATACTGTAGTGCTAGCTGTTGATCGGAACTCTCCACTTGGTAATTTGTCCACTGATGAGCTGCACCTAGACGACCAACATGATGTGAGCTCCCGTGTTGATAACGGTGAGCGGTTACTTCATTTGTGGGATTATGCTCGCTTATTTCTTGTGAGCATTAACTTCCCACATAGCACCCGCTGGAGGGTAACGTGGCGCACACCAGCCTTAGAGCAACCACGATGCACATCGATCACATTGCCATCAGTTACCGTTGGGGACGCTGCGTCCAAAACGCCCGATTTGTAGCACATGTGTTGACAATGACCATGCAGTTATGTGTGCTGATCTACGTGTGCGTTTTGGCAGACGCCGATGACCCTAGCCAACTGGCGTAGCCAGCTGTTCTGAATGCGTATTAAAGTTCGCTGACTTGCGGGTTGGGTAAGCGCTCAGTGAATACAATTGACGATCGCTAGTCCCATGTACAGCCGATCTTACTAGCAGCAGGCAAATCCTCACGTAATAAGTCTGATAGCGAACATGGACTTTGAATCTCTTCGCAGTCTTAGGAAATTATCGATGCTCGGCGGCTCATTCCGGGTGTACGCGGACACAGTAAAACATGCAAAAACCTCAAGGGAAAACTACATGCTAGCTTAAAGAGAGGCCACGGATCCATGGTCTCATCGTGCTTCAGGGATGGAAGTAGCCGCTGCCTTTGGTAGCCATCGGAAATTATTGCGTGTGCTATTCGCAACGGGCAGCAGTAAACCAGTGTTAGTGAATCTCTGTGTGACGAGAGTGCATAACCTACCACAATTTGTCCAAGTGCTTGGAACGTTGGGGTCAGTATTTTGAGAGGCAATTTAATTGGTCGGAATTGTCAGATTTCTCGCTGGCCATTGATCGCCGTGCTCTCTGGCCTGTCCCTATTGATCGAACGTGAGATCAGACTGTTGCAGTTGAACAAAACAACGGGACCAGATGATCATCATCTAGCCCTCTTCATATTCGGGGCACCTACTGGTGGATGATTTACACGAGGTATTAATGAAGCTGTGGGAGTAGGAAACTATCCAAACGCAGAGAGAGCCACTCCGTTACTGTTCGGATCTTCTAATTGGCTCACGTTTGGTTTGCAGCAACCATAGAGGAATCAGTCTGATCTCTATCGTCTCCAAGTCACTTGCCTCTGTATTACTTCACAGACTGACTGACACTCTTGAAAGCCAGATTCGTGAAGTGCAAGTCGGCTTTCGTCTAGATCGGAGTGCAGTGATCACATCTACACTTAACGTCAATTGTTGGAGCACCGTCACACATATTGGTGGCCCACCGTTGTCGTGTCCCTCGACACCAAAGGTGCCTTCTACTCGGTGGATAACTGTGTCCTTTGGGACGGTCTACCAAGGAAACAGCAGGGCCTGCGATAGATCACACGGGCGGATGGCTCACTCAGTTCGCAATTACCGGCACAGATTGCTGCGCAATCCAGAGCAGTTGGCGGACCCGGTTCACTATCGCCGCACTGGTTGCTATGGTGCGGATATGGTCGTAACTACTACCAAACAGTAAAGGTCGCGACCTGCTTTGAATCTGTCTGGACTAGTAGCGTGAATCATCCAGTCAACAGTTTTAGAATGAGTTCATGGGACCTATAAAGATAACTAATCTTCTCTCCTGATACATCTTTCGGATTAGCACGCGTTGCTGTTTTGGTTTTCTCAGTTGGGCTGGCGAAGCTTCGAGCAGCGAGAACAGAGGTGGGCAAACGTTATAACGGTGGCTATGGGAGTTTTAACCGAACCCAGTTATAGCAGTCAGCTTTGAACACTTGCGGGCACTTTCACAACAGCAACAACTACATTTTTGAAAGTCGCGTGCCAAGCTCATTTAGTGGTTGCAGCAGACATTGTGGATACTGTTGCAGGCCCGTCAAAAATCCCCGCAAAAAACGCGCCAGTAACTCCGGCATAATGGCTGTGGGAAGCGGAGTCCAATTTCTCCCCACAACGCAGCAATGTTCAGCCACTCCGAGGCGCGTCCCAACTGCGAACCTTTTGACAATGGTCATTTGCAAACTACTACCTCTGCGTGGTGACTTTTTTCCCTAACTTAATAACCCATAGCACTGGCTGTGATCGCCCTTTGTCGGTCGTAAAAGAGCCTACAGAGGACCACTTGTCTTTCCTTTCTCTTCGCCTCAGTTGGAAGTCGGTCGGGTCGCGTGATTGCGTGTGAATCGTTAGCTGGCCAGCCTTCGCGTCTAAGTCATTAGCGCGCGTCTATCGTACCACCTCTCGTGTGCGTCCGTTTTCGAGGCCTCAGCGTCTATCCGAACAAGTGCGGCTAAGATTGTTCACACGCTCGTTCAATTTTCCGTCTCACCTGCTAAGCTAGTGTCATCAGGTCAGCGCCACTCCGTTCGAGTGGCCAGCGTTACAAGTCGTCATCGTAGGCGTGCTCCAACCGTGCGAGCGACAATCTTGTCACGCAATTATCTCAAGAGGCGGCGTTCCCTCAATTATAACAGATCAAGTTCAGATCAAGTTCAGTTTCAGGGGCAATATAAATGTGTCTACCTAACCAGAAACACTGACTTAGCAACACTGCATTTCATTGTGTTGCGGGCCCGTGAAATATTCCCGCAAAAACGCGCCATAATAATGGCTACAGAAAGCTGGGTCCAATTCCTCCACACAGCGTAGCAGATTTCAGCCACGCCGAGACGCGGCCCAACTGCGCACCTTTTGACAGTGATCTTTTGCAAACTATCACCTCGTCGTGGTAGCAATTTTTCATAACTTAATAACCCATAGCATTGGCTGTGATTTGCCCTTTGTTGGTCGTAAAAGAGCCTTCAGAGGACCATTCGCCTTTCTTCCTCTTCGCCTCGGTTGGGTGTCGGTCGGTCACGTGATTTTGTGTGCATCGATAGCCGGGCAGCATTCACGTCTAAGTCACTACACCATTTTACGCGCATGTTGGCGCATTGTACCATGCTTTTAGCATGGCACATTTTCGAAATCGCATGCAGTGCTTTCAAGTTAGGGAGGTTTCCTTCAGATAGGCATCAAAATAGAACAGAAGGTGGTGCTCGATCACTTTCATCGGACTGTCTGTCGCTTATGCTGTGATCTTCCAACCGGTGTCCCATTGGGTAACGTCCCATGACTAATGAGAGTGTCAACGACGCCAAAACAGCGTTTTTAGCCTCGCTAACTTGAAGGCCCTGCACGCGATTTCAAAAATGTGTCACGCTAAAAGCTTGGTACAATGCCTTGAGGCACGCCACTTGTAGAGTGGTACCAGTCAGTTAGATGGTCGTCGACCTGTACCCTCCACTTTCCTCCAACAAGTAAATCGCAGATCCACCGGTGCAGTGAGCCCCCGACACCACACATTCTGAGCTTGTGAATGAGAACCTCATGACTGACCTTGTCGAACACTTTCCTGAAATCGATGAATATCACGTCGACGGACTTCCCCTTGCTTATTGCCTTCAACCACTCATGCCTCGTCACAAGCAGGTTCGTAATGCATGAGCGACCTTGCATAAAACCGTGCTGTGCGGGCATCAGGACCTCCTTTGACTGTAGCAACTGCAGCAGTCCCTTCTTCACGATTTTCTCAGCAACCTTTGCTAAATAGGTGTCAGACAAATTGGCCTGTATTTGTCTAATTTGCTAGGGTCGCCGCCTTTCGGAATAGGCTCCACCACCGAACATTTCCAGTCAACCGGCAACAAACCTTCAGACAGTGACCTGTTGAAAAGGTCAGTCACGACAGGAGAGAGGATGGTTGAAAGTGACTTGAGAACCAGTAGGTGAAGCCCATCAGGTCCGGCAGGTTTCTAAGGGCCGGCCTCATGCGGTCTAGAATGACATTTTTAGGTTGGATTGACGCAGTGTGGGGAAGGGCAACCCCAAAACACCTCCATTTCAGATACAGAAAATGAAAAGTATTTTATTTATTTATATGCCTGCTAGCTCTATCGGAGACCCGAATGCGTGAATTTGTGTTTTATGTCTGCACATTTCTTTTAGAGTCATCTATCACGTTTATTGTTGTAACATATAACCTTCTCGTCCAAGTGACGTCTGTACTTGGCTGCGATGTCCACTTTGCGCAAGGATCCACTACACCCCACCTTGAATCGTTCCGGCTACATTACGGACACGAACATGCGACCTCGCTATGCGCTCCTCATCTCTTGCGAACATAATGGCTACTGAAATTACCTCCTAGATTTCTTATTTCTTGCCTTCCTGTTAGGAGGATCAGTCATCCGAGTTGTCGTTTATCTTCATGGTCACGTTGTATTGCTATGGTCAGCTGCTTTGAACCTGATCACTAATTTGCTGGTCGAGAAAATGAGACTCCGATCACCAGTTCAATAGTCACAGATTGTACTGTACGGACTTGTGTTATTTATACGTCCCCGATGACTTTGAATGTTCTCTATTCATATCTTAATTTACCAATAATGGCATTAGATTGTCCGAGAACATTCCCCTGATCGACCGATGCGCATATTCCGCTGGATTTTGGTTTATATCGCTTTCAGTGATTCATTCCTTAGAAAAAGCTCCTCCAGACACTTCCTTTTAACTTTTACGCACTGGCAATATTGAGAGCCACTCAACATTTCCTTTTATGCGGAGTATAGCCGCTCTGCTTCACATTTTTATTTGCACCATTTTCTATTCATAGGTTTCTCTAATTTTGTTGGCTTACCTAACAACCTCGTGGTACCAGCTTGATGGCTCGGGTTTATCCCGTTTCAGCAAATAGTTCGGCGGAAGTGGTGGGTTTTCGCCTGGCAAGCGTTCTCCCTATGAAAAGCGCGTACGTCCGCTTAACAATATTGGGACGTGGCGGATGTGACTGGCCGCTAAATTAAGTCACTACTCCTTGTTTACTCCGGTGAAGCATTCTATTCTAACAACCCGAAGCTGAAATTTTAGGGAGGATTGGGTCCCTGTTTGTCAACCGACCAAACGAAATGCGTGTGAGCTGTCTAATCAGTTACCGGCTCCCAATGACTGCGATTCCTTGAATTCGCTCCGCTGCCTTACAAGCATACTATATAGCCAAAAACTCGGGGTAGTGTCCCCTAAGTCAACACCCTACTTCGGCTTTGGCAGCCGGGTGGTTTTCTGTTCTCTGACGAAATCATGGACTTTTCTGTGTTGTGTTTATTTTCCGACGATTATATCTTAATTCAATTTCCATGGTTTTCGATTGATTATATATATATATATATATATATATATATATATATATATACCCATTGGCTTGAGCAAAGGCTGAGGTATCATTTCGGACTGCTTGCTATGTGATGGTACACGTCGACTTTATCAACTTCATCCTGTTTTGTTTCACTGTACCCACTCCTTTCCTATATTCTTTTCCCGTCCTACCTATAGATCTCACAGGACATTCCGAAGTACTCACCCACTTGTTGCCTTTCTACTCTTACGATATTCCGCACACATGTGGTCCGAACCCGGCGGTCTGCTGCCAATTTGACTTCAAGCGCAAGCACCCGTTTGGTTGCCCTTGGAAAATACAACCTAAACCGATCAGTCCAGCTAATGTTGCCGAACGGTAAGCAGTAAATCGCCACTTTCTTTTCGGCCTCTTTTCACTCGCTAACTGTTCCCAGTTTTACCGGTGTTATTGTGTTCCCCTCTCATGGTCCCACAGCACATCGCCGTCTGCCGCATCCGTTTTGTCGTCTTTTCCTCATGATAGACTGTAGTCCAAATTCACAGGTGAAGTGTATTTTCTTAAAATTGTCTCAGTGGTCAACCCATCATGGCCAATATGTCTGCTTTTCATGCTTGCCACGTACACATGAGTTTCCTACAGTATAAATAGCTCTCCGTTTATCCGATTAGTTTTACAGCTATGCTCCTGGCACCGACGTACGGTGGATCCAATGGTCATGATCTATACTAATAAATAACAACGGTTGAACTCAAACGAAATACAAAGAAAATGACGTAAAAATAATCGGTATGGAATATTAACTACTAGATGCAAGACACCCAATTTAGTAGCTCCACTGACTGCACAGCTACGTCATATCTGTTAAGGTCTCTAATAATCACCTGACCGCACAGCAGTCTTTCTCGATAGCGTGTCTCCAATCTCCGTAGTTTTTAAGTCAAGTAAAAATAGGCTTTATGCACCCGGGTGGAAACATTCTCATCATTTTACACTGCAACTGCAGTCAATTGCGCATCATACCAAAGATTTTCCTTGTGTCATCAACTAGTCGTGACAAGTACGGTGGGATAGACGCAGTAGGAAATAATAGAGAGGGAAGCGGATCCATTGTCCAGATACGAGGTCGCGCACACTCGTCCCGCGGAACATGTGAGCTGTCTGCTGCATGCGAAAGTCACCAGCACGAGCGTGGAACGACCTTAGACTGTTTTGCCAAATTTGGGAATCGGGGGTAAACTGATTGGCCAACAAATACAATCCCGAGTCAACGGAGGCGAGCCATTCTGCCAAATATGGAAAATCCGTGGGACGGAATTAACTCACATTTACTGCGAGCCAAACGCTTCCAAAATTAGTATGTTTCGTTCACCAATAACTAGAACTGACCTGTCGTGTAGAATAGACTCCCTGTTTAGCGAGCCTTTGCCTTCTGTATCCCGTCGGTTGGTTGGGTGAGTGACTGAGCAATCAGGCGGTCGTAGTCTCGGAGGCGCGGAATAGCGGCAGTGCGACGGTACGAAGGCAGCTTTATGACAGGAAAAAGTGGACTATCAGTTTAGAGCGCGTAGAACAAACATTGCATGTTTGATACCTCATCATATGTGCAGTGCAAAGGATCGTTTGTAACTTCAAAGCAATATTCAGTACACTTAGGTCAAGTCAAGGCGAAATAATATTTTTCCACATATATAGGTTCATTTTCAACATTTTCACACCGATACTGCGAAAAAGAATACAAAAATGCATCGATGAGAAATGATAATTGACAATTTAATGTCAAACGTTTCACCACTTCCCTCAGTGGCATCTTCAGTGTACAGCTCCACAGGGGAAATCTCACGGAAAATGTCGTTGGGACGTAGCGTTTGAAAATAGCCTCGTCGATCTGTGTCCCGTGACCTCTGTTTGTTCGATACTTAGCCGTCCAGCTTCACGCTTTCTCAGCTGTAAGTACACGGGATCGAGATCAATGCGGAGGTTCAGGGAATTCTCCGTAGAGAACCATGCCTCGAGGAATTCCCTTCCTTTTCTTGTCCCTCCGTGCGCCAGAATTTTTGTTTTGTCCCAGTTAACATTGTGTCCTTCCTCATCCAGGTGTGCTGAGATCTGTGACGATACATAACGATATCGACACGCACGCTTGTGCTCTTTTATTCTTGTGGATAGTTTTCTCCCCGTTTGACCTACATAGTCTTTGTCGCAATTCTCGCATTTTATCCTGTAGATGACATTTTGGTGTTCTTGTGCCTCCAGTCTTTCTTTAGGTCTAGATAATATTCTTTTCAAAGTCCCAGTTGGTATGTGAGCTATCGTCAGGTTGTGCGGTTTGAGGAGTCTGGCTGTCTTTTCCGATATGTTTTTGATGTACGGCAAGGCGATGTGTTTCGTCGTCGTTGGTGCAGGTGTGGTAGTTGTGCTCCTTCGGTTTAGGTGTCTTCGGATGAAACTGCGTGGGTAGCCGTTACGAATAAAAGACCTAAACAGATGTTCTTCTTCCTTACGTTTGGCCTCTGCAGTATTGCAATGCGTTTCTATCCTACGAAACAGGGTCCGTATACAACTTATTTTGTGACACTTAGGATGATTGCTTTTAAAGTTTAGGATTTGGTCGGTGTGTGTTGCTTTTCTGTAAACTGATGTCTGTAATTCGCCTTCTACCGTTCTGGTGACCAGCACGTCCAAAAAGGGTAGTTGGTTTTCCACCTCCTCTTCTATGGTGAAACAAATGCCTTCCATTGCATTGTTAAGTAGGTCTTGTGCGGTCTGTAGCTGGTTGCGTTTGAGAATCACAAACGTGTCGTCAACGTATCGCACCCATAATTTCGGACTAAGGACTGGGAGTATATCCTCTTCCAACTTCTGCATGACGACTTCTGCAATGAGTCCAGAAATGGGGGATCCCATTGGGGCTCCCCTAACTTGCTCGTAGAACACTCCGTTGAATTTGAAGTAAGTAGTAAGACACAAGTCGAGTAGCTTGCATTTGCTTTCAGTTGTTAGCTTCCCAGTCGTTTGTCCTACATTATTCAAACGTTCTTTGATATTTTCTTTCGCTATCTGTAAGTTGATGGAGGTGAAAAGTGCGGTGACGTCAAAGGATACCATCACTTCTTCATTGTCTATCCTTATGCATTTGAGCTTTTCCAAGAACTGATGAGCATTACTGATGGAGTATTGCGATCCGTTGGTCAGATGTTTGAGGCCCTTCCATAATTCTTTAGCCAAGTTGTAAGTTGGTGTACCTGGGAGTGATACTATTGGTCGTAGCGGCACACCCTCTTTGTGTACTTTAGGAAGCCCGTAAAACTGTGCGATGTTTGGATCACGAGCCTTCATTCGATCATACTCTCCCTTTGTGAGTTGACTTAATTCTTGAAGTTTCTTAAGTGTCTTATTCACTTTATTTGCCAACCCTACTGTTGGACCGTTCTCCATACGTCGATAGGTTGTTGTGTCGGCTAGGAGATGACTTGTCTTTTCAATATAATCAGTTTTGTCCATTATGACAGTCATACGTCCCTTGTCCGCAGGCAAGATTACGATGGTTTCGTCGGCCTTCAAGGATTTCAAGGCACTTTTCTCTTGTTGTGAAAATGAGTTGTGTTGCTTGTTGCGTGCTAGCATCGGAACCACGGCATGTCTTATTTCTGTTTTGGTTTCTTCGTTAAGTCCATTGGATTGTAAGGCATTTTCGAATTCTGCTAGGAACTCCAGGGTTCCAGCATCCTTGAAGTTGTAGTTAAGTCCCTTGATGAGGACCTGTCGTTCAACGTCATCGAGATTCCGTTTGGACAGGTTCCTGACCCAACCATCGTTGACATCTGCGCACTTCAAGCTGGACAATTTGGACAACTTTTCTCGTAGAGCAGCCTGCTTTTTCGCTTTTGCAATTGTTGCTTTGCGATTAATCACTAAGTCTAACTGTTCTGTCATTTGTTGGCCGACTGTTTTTAGGCATGTAGTTCGGTGTTCCTTAAGGCTAAGAAACGGCGTCAAATGTAGAGCGTCCTGGTTTCTAGGCAAACTGTTTGACACCATCAATATGTTTGTCTATGAAAATGCGTGGGATCAGTAAACCTTTCACCAGTACGAACGTGCACGCAATCGACCAACATTTCTGTGATCTGTTTTTAAGCACTGGTGCTATTCTCTCTAATTTTCAAATGTCGGGGATAGTACTAGGGGTTAAGTACCGATTCAACATCTCTGTCAGAGGCATCGTTAAAACTGCGCATTCTTTCAGAGCGACTTCTGTTAGAACCTCCGGCCCACTCGCCTTGTTTGACTTCAGTCTTATGATTTTGTTGAGGTTTTCATTCCAGTAGTTTACAAGCTACGTAGCATAGCCTATTTCGGGAAATGCACCGGACGCGTTTCGCCATATTGGGGCTTGTCAGTGGTGCGCATTCCCTCGGTCCTCTAAAGAGGATCGAACTCATAACTGCTAGAAGCAGATGCCAACTAGCGAGCAGCCTAAGCCACTGAGTCATGGGGGACGTTGGCTGGGCTACATAATTTGCAAACTAACTGGGGTATAGCACCACCTATCTTCCACTATCACTACCAATGGTTAGCCTACGAGGTGATGTCGTCCGCTCACTAAACGCTATATCCATAGCATTTTGAAACTAGGAGAGGCTATTTATTTTATATTACTCGTAAGTAACAAAGCTTTAGTTGTAACTTTGTTGAGGTTTCATCCCAGTAGTTCACAAGCTACATAGCCGAGCCTAGTCCGCAAAAGCACCAGTCATATGACTTCATTGTAAACACTCGTAGAATCAAACAAAATGGGAAGCTCAGCAGTGTTAAGAGAATACAGGGAGTGTGTTAGATTATGTGGATCTGGACTGTGCCTTGAGTTTATATACATCCTTGGTGATAAGTGTTTTTAAGGACTGCTTTCCAGGGAGTTATCTTAGCAGTCTCCACAAGTCACAGCCTGAATGTACAAACTGTTTAGCTTTTTATTACAGCTTTTATAGCCAGGAACAGATGTTTAACACGGACAGTTAGCTTATGTGTATAAACCTGCTGTTACTTGAGCAAGAGATGAAAATCGGTCATTTCTCAAATAGATTATCACAATGGGACAGCACATATCAAAACAGGATTTTATGTAATCTTTGAGGTTCTTGCCTTGAGGTGACAAGTCTACATTGGTGAAAATTGAATGATCACTTGAACAACGTGTTGATTTGAACTGGACAGTACTGTCATTTATAAGTACTGGATTGTCTTTTTGTCCGCACAACGTAGTTGGCCTTACCGTATTACTTGGACATAACTATACTATGTAATGGTCGGGATTACCAAGAGGCGCACGCTTTTGTGTGGTAAACACTGCGTTTGTTAGTGAAGACTCAACCTGGATA